ACAGGTGCCCATATCTACGTCAATAATTCCATCGTTTTTGACTGGTAATTTTTCATGGTATCGTTAGTTGTATTTTTGATACTATATGCATAAGAAACAAGAGAGGAATTTAAAACATAAATCCGATCAATACAAATTTAATTAGAAAACGTGAATATTAAATTACATTGTTTACAAATATTTAATTACGTTGAGTATTTAATTAATGTGAATGGAAATGAAAATCAAAATATGGATAAATATTTAACCTTGTTGCGTCTTCTGTGTCTAACGTCCTCGGCTGACATGAAGTGCAAAGACTAAATTGAATCCATTGCTAGGTCTGCTGCTAAGAAATCGGTTAATTGTGTCCTGTTAGACCATTTTTCCCACCAGAATCTATGTTACATATTTAAAAGTCTACCATTCGTCCATACTGTGAATATTGCTGCCACATCTGGTTCGGTGACCTCACTGTATATTTAGAGATTCTTGATAAAATCCAAAGAGTCAGCAAAATTATTGGTCCTTATCTGGCATCTCGGCTTCAGTCACTTCCCCACCGCCGTAATGTAGCATCCCTGCGCCTTTTCTATAAATAATTTTTATGTTAATTGTTCGGATGGAATCTCTGCTATGCTTCTTAGACTTTATTAATTTAAGCACAGAACAAGATTGGCGGAAAGGTCTCATCAATTCACAGTTGAATTGGCTAGATGTAGCCGCAATTTCTATGCTAACAGTTTCCTTTCTCGCACTTCTCGTTTGTGGAACTCTCTTCCGGCTTCTTGCTTTTCAGCTAACTCTAATCTTCAGGAATTTAAATGCAATGTCAGTCGCTATCTACTGTCTTGGTTGCTCTTCTATTCTTCTCACTGCTTAATAATGTTCCTATTTTTTCTTGTTCTTTCACACTCAGTAACCCCTTGTATCTTAGTGGCTTTACTGTCTTGCATGGGGTGACATGATTAAAAAGAAAAAAATACACATAGTTAACCTTTTTTTATTTATAAGAACAGAATCTGTGGCATAATTAATTAGAAATATTTGTAATCTCCAGAATTTAATATCTTTTAAAAAGCGAACGTTATTTAAGGAGACATGTTTTAATAAACGTTTGGAATTTTTACTCTATAAACAAAAACTCTGTAATTCTAAACAATAAATTGATGTATATAATAATTAATACCTTGTGGTTACGTGTGCTAGGGTTGCTAGCTAATCCCCGTTAAGCACATTTGTGTTTGTCGAACACCGACCCAGACTGTGGTGTATACTGAAAATATCTGATTATTATAAGAAAATTAGTCTTAGATAATTTGACACACACTGGACAAACTGAAACCTAAAATGTTAAAGAGAAACAGACAGTGAACTATCTAACGAGACGGTTTAAATGATAGTAGGTCAGAGCGTCGAATCGAAAAACAAAATGGACACCATGTCGAATAGACAAAATGTTGAACGGATGAAGTGCCGAGCGGGAAAAAAAAAGAGTCGAACTGACTAAAAGAATGGACATAATGTGGAGAAGACAAAGATTCAAAATGGAAAAATGTTGATCAAAAGAAAAACGAACATATCGTAATGATTTTAAAAACTCGGTTCAAATAACCTTTTAAGATATTTTAAACTGTTTATTGCTTAGCTTTGTCATCATTTAATAAATAATAGCCCTAAAAGTGAGTAAGACCCAATGATTATTGGTTAGCGGTTTCGATTTGGGGTGGGAAACGATTATCACGCTCTGTATTTTTCATTATAGGTTTTTATGAGTTTGAAATTTAAAAATAATTATTTACCGGGGGATACCTGCATGTTAAGCAAAAGGGATTCTGTTGTAGGCACATTGCTAACCGTTCGTCATTTCGTCAGTTCCACTTTTTTTTTAAAATTTGGCACTTTGTTCATTCGACAATTTATTCGTTCGATACTTAATCCGTTCGACACATTGTCTGTTCGAAATTTTGGCCATTCGTCATTTTTTTATTTTGACACAGTGTCCATTCGTCATTTTTTATTTCGACACTTTGTCTGCGCACCGTGTATATGGATTGTAGAACAGGGGCCGGGAATAATAGTAAAAAGACACATATCGCTAGGCGCTAAATTCTGGGTGTCCCTGATCTTTACCCTGAAGAGAAACAGCGCGTTGTTGAAGTAGATGATGCTCAGATTTTAGTTTTACTACTTGTGCGAAAGCGCATAATCTAGTCTGATCAGATTTTTCAATAATATTTTGCTCTTTTCTAAAATATACACTACATAATAAAATATATATTTTTCTTTTTTTCATACTCATGATCTGGAAGACTATAATCTATAATAGTATGGAAGGAAAACTGAAAGCTGATTATTTCTGTTCATTGTGCTTCTTGTATACAATATAGCATCCGTCCGTCTCGAGAGACCCCAGGCTCCCAAAGAGTTATACGCTAGCGGCTGATGACGACACAGGATCTGTTATGGCTGCACAAGCCAACACGTGAGTGACCATCTTGATAGCAAAGAATGCATATGAAGCCACTCTCCCTGATGTCGCCGTCGCAGTGAGATGACGCTTCAGTATCCTCTCCAACAAACAGTTGCCCATGCAGCACGTCTCCCCTCTCCTCGCCACCAATATTGCCCAAGGGAACCGGCATTGTCGCAGGTGTTGCCAGAACGCAAGTGAACAACATCGTACTGTCTTAGGGACTCCGGCTCTGGATCTGCCCCCAGGGCTTACACCCGATGCCTCTCCCATGACTTGATATGGCCATAAGGCTTTGTTTATGTAAAATCAGGGCTTGCCTTCTCTTAGATGGGCTATCCTCCGGGGCTGAGAGTTCCATCTCCCCGAAGTATATATATATATATATATATATATATATATATATATATATATATATATATATATATACACGCATAAACACACACGTATTTTACACTGGATGTCCGAGTAGATGGATCGTCATTAAAGGTATCACATTATGAATTATTATTATATATATTTTTAACTAGCTTAAAATCCGTCCTATCGGGAGGAATTTAAGCTAGCTCATTTAGAGGGATCTTGAGTGGGCCTTCATCACAATAAGTGGGCAGAGGTAGATGTGATAGGCAACAATAAACTACAGAAGAACTCAAAACTGATTTCTGCACTTAAGTATTGCATTAATATTTAAGCTTACCTTTTAAAGGTTAAACGATAATTCTTCTGTCGCCATTTTAATTTAAAGACAGTTTGATGTACGTAGGTCCTTACTTTCCGTAAAAACAATCATTTTTATTTCATGGATGGCTTTCGCAATTAATTTCGATTATCCCCAGATTTATTTCCAAGTTAAAAAAAAAACTGTTATTGTTCAAAAAAATTGTCGCAAAAAATCACGTAAAAAAAAAAAATCGTCGGAAAACAATCGCAGTAATGAAAATTTGGGTATCCAAAATTTCAGGATTGCTGGTCCGGATCTGGCCTGGGATGTTTTTAATTTGCTCACGGAATCGGCCTGATTCCGAAATGTTATGACATGTTGGGCTAGGAGTAAAGTTGAAAAAGTGTGACTCATTGACATTCGCTTTTGTTTATATGATGATGAGATTTTTAAAAGTTAGAGAGTTGTGTCCCTTTAACTGAAAAAGTGTGACGCACAGACATTTTCGCATTTATTATATAGACGATAATAATAGAAATCAATAAATAAATAAGAAAAGAATAAATGTAATATTATCATCAAATATATGAGAACATTTTTCAATTATTTTTATTGTTAAATTGAAAGATACACACTAAATAATATTTTCACATCCCCTAAATTTACAATAAATTAAAATACTGCATGTCCAAATAAACCAAAATAAATGAACATTAAACTTCCATCAATGTCTTAAATAATAAATTTAATATTATCTAAGTGCCAAAGTATTTTAATCTAGGTCTCTACATGTCCGCGTGGAACTCAGTTGGGTGGCTGCCAGGCATCTTATATTTATTTAATTAATATGGATACATTAATTTGTGGCACAAGGCCGAAAGAGATGTGGGAAAAGGGTGGTCATCACTGTCTAACCTGCACCTAGCTATATCGACTCATGACCTAACAATTTCTCCAATAACTACAAGAACCCTTTCTTCTATATTTGACCCAATATTTACCACAATACCACATCTTTGCAGGGGTCCTATTAAAACAGCCATGATTCTAAAACTTCTTTATATCTGGTCTGGTGCCCCTGCTAGTCATCTCGATGTTCTTGGCAAAATCCAAAGATGGATCTGCAATGTAATCGATCCTGACTTAGCATCCCGACTTCAGTCACTTTCTCAACAAGGTGACGTGGCTTCCCTCTGTCTTTTCTATAAATATTTTAATGGCAATGCCGCTGAAGAGCTTTTTTCCTTGGTCTCCGGACAACATGAGTTTACGCATGTTACTAGGTTGGCATTTAGGTCCCACTATTTTACTGTTGGATTAGTTAAATGTAACAGCCACTTCTACCCCAACAGTTTCTTTTCTCGCATTTCCCACCTGTGGAATGTCAGTTTCCTTGATTCCTTGATAACTACAATCTTCAAAAATTTAAATGCAACGTCAATTGCCATCTTCTACCTTATTCAGCTTTTATCCTTCCCTCCCCATATACCCAGTCTTTTCTCTCATGTTCACTCTCTGTAACCCCGCTGCGTAAAAGTAGCATTCCCGCCTTGCTTGGGGTGAAATGATTTAAAAACAAAATGTATTGCCTTGCTGTAACTTTATTCATGCGAATACTGGTATTTATGGCGTTCTCTTTTTCGCTCCATTGTGATATTAATAATAGACAATAGTACAAACAATAGGCGCCACCTTCGAATAGATAAAGTGTTTTAAAGTTGTTTTTTCTTATTATTTACTATCGGTTTTCTGTTCATTTTCGAATCAAAACAAAATTCTCTTTACTTTTTTTAGTCGCATTTCTTTCTCTGTGTCTTCTGAGTCAAAACACTTTATATGAAATTCCCTTTCGTAAATACGAAAACACATTTAATATTAAGCGAATTATGAGATATATAGAGAGAAAGAGAGTGGTATAGCGAAAGACGGAGGGAAAAAGTGTTGAGCGAGCGAGGGAGGGATATAAGATAGTATAGGAAAACAGAGAGGGATGGAAAGAGAGAGAGAGAGAGAGAGAGAGAGTGGTTGTAAAAAAGAAGGAAAGGCTTGAAACAAGAAAGAGGAACAAAGAGAGTGATATAGGGAAAGAGAGAGGGAGAAATAGTGGTATAGTGAAAGAGGAAGGGAGAACGAGTACTGGAGCGAAAGAGAGACGGAATGGGAGAAAGTGATATAGGAAAATAGAGAGGGATGTAGAGAGAATAGTACAGGGAAACAGAGTGGACGGAAAGTAAGGTGCATAGGAAATGACAGAGGAATGGAGAGAAGATAGTATAGTGAAAAAGAGAGGGATAGTGAGAGAGTGGTAGAAGGAAAAGAGAGGAGTGGTAGGAGAATGGTATAGGGATGGAGAGAGAGGAGGTGTATGGAAAGAGAGAGGAATGGGGAAAGAGTGGTATATAAAAAGAGAGAGGGATGGAGAAAAAGTAATACAGGGAAAGAGAGAGGAATGAAGGGGGTGTTATAGAGAAAGAGAGAGTGATGAAGAGTGTGGTATAAGGAAAGAAGGAGGAAGGAATAGAGAGAGAGAGAGAGAGGGAGGGAGGGAGGGAGGGAGGAGGTCAGAATTATAACGTTCTTTTCATTCTTTATTCTAAAACCATACCATCAAATACAAACTATTCATAAATAATAAATGCGGTTAATTAAGAGAGCGGCCTTAATAAACAAATAATGTTGCTTGTCATCTCGATTGACTTTAGTGACAAATTTCTAAGAAGTGCACATTGAATGCCGAGCACTTGTTCTGAGATCTTAATTTAAATTTTCGACACATTTAATTTCTTTTAAAACTTCAGTTTGTGGATCAGTATCCGCGGCTCCAAATTAATCAGTTTTCCCATTAATAGGGTCATCCTGGGTATGACGATAAACTACATCCCCGTCCTGGGTAAGACGATAAACTACGTCCAACAAGGCCTCTGATCAGGAGGTTTTGAGGAGTGTGGAACGACCTCTTCATTGCTGGTGTTCCCAGGTCCAACCTGACCCGGTGTGGTAGCACCTGTTAGGGTCCCAGATAGTTGACCCCACAACCTGACTCAAATAGTTGACCCCGCAACCTGACTCAAATAGTTGACCCCGAAACCTGACTCAAATAGTTGACCCCACAACCTGACTCAAATAGTTGACCCCGCAACCTGACTCAAATAGTTGACCCCACAACCTGATTCAAAACAAGATGAAAGTGTAAAAATAGATTTTATTACCAGAAAAATTTAAAAAAAATAGTATCAGCAATAAATATTTGAAAAAAGAAAATATTAACCAGAAATAAACATCTTGTCAGCATTAAATAATCCATTGAGGTTAATATGCAACAAAACTTAACAAACCAAACTATACATTTTTTTTAAATATTAGCAGCTATACGTTTTGAAAAAAAAAGGAAATTTTGTTCGCATTAAATAACCCATTGTGGTTGATATGACGTAAAACAAAACAAACCAAATCAGACATTAATAGGGTAAACATTATTACTTTGTTGTTGCTTCCGACTCATGTCCAAGTTTCACTTATTCATTTATAACACTATAGATTCATCATAGGAGAGACCGTGTCCACATTAATTCGACACGTTTGGTGAAGAAATAATAATTAAATAAAACTGAAGTAATTCTGAAATATTCATCTGTCTGAAAAGTTGACAACTTAGCCACAAGAATAAATGAAGATGAAGAGACTTGATGTTCAAAAATCATCAAACCATGAAATCAACAAATTAATTAAAATATCATCCTCTTAAAAATTAAGTGCCGAGAAAGACATTTTTTAATCACTTCACCCCACGTAAGGTAATAAAGCCGCTAAGAAGCAAGCGGTTACTGAGTGTGAAAGAATATGAGAAAAAGAAAACATTAACTCAAGTCTTTTAAACGTATGAAATTTTTAAAGATGCATATACGAAATTGAAATCCTCCAACATAACTAAGCCAGCTACAGTGATGAGGAGATTGCTTGCAAGGTATTCGTTCGGTGCAGATGCATATAATAACAATGAAAAATGATGAGAAAAGGAGAGGCAGAAGGCAGATATAAAAAAAATCTCAAATTTCAACCAATCAGAGAAGTCAAGCGTTTTCAGCAAATGAAATACGAGTTAAGCTTTCTTAGAAATTCGCAAATTGTTTGATAGAACAATTTTGATAGATAGATAGATAGATAGATAGATAGATAGATAGATAGATAGATAGATAGATAGATATGTACAGACTGGGATAGATAGATAGATAGATAGATAGATAGATAGATAGATAGATAGATAGAGATAGATAGATAGATAGATAGATAGATAGATAGATAGATAGATAGATAGATAGATATGACAGAATTGGATAGATAGATAGATAGATAGATGATAGATAGATAGATAGATAGATAGATATGTACAGACTGGGATAGATAGATAGATAGACAGATGGGATAGATAGATAGATAGATTTGATAGATAGATAGATAGATAGATAGATAGATAGATAGATAGATAGATAGATAGATAGATATGTACAGACTGGGATAGATAGATAGATAGATAGATAGATAGATAGATAGATAGATAGATAGATAGATAGATGGGATAGATAGAGAATTTGATAGATAGATAGATAGATAGATAGATAGATAGATAGATAGATAGATATGTACAGAATTGATAGATAGATAGATAGATAGATAGATAGATAGATAGATAGATAGATAGATAGATATGCACAGAATTGGGATAGATAGATAGATAGATAGTACAGACTGGGATAGATAGATAGATAGATAGATAGATAGATAGATAGATAGATAGATAGATAGATAGATAGATAGATATGTACAGACTGGGATAGATAAATAGATAGATAGATATGAAACTAATAACGATATTATTAATTCTGAAAATGAAGATGAAGGTAAATGGAGAATGATGCCAATTTAATTATTGATGAAATTCTCTTTCTCCACTAATGGCATTTGTGTTCAATTCATTCATCCTTCGCGTTTGAGTTTCTATCCAACTCCGCTACAAAAGCAAAGAGCTGACCTCTGTATTATTTGACGCTCTGGTCTGTCTTCAGATGTTATTACAATTTTAATAGATCCATAGAAAGAGGAATGGAATCAATTGATATATTTGAATAGGTTATATGTTTTAATCGATTAGATGATGCGTTATTACTGTGAGAGAAAATTTGCCATATCTTCATTCTTTTAAAATATTTACATACAAATTTCCCAGAAGAATATAATAAACAAATTTCAAATTGGATTCGAGATGATTAGTTTTATGAACTTGATCTTTGTGCTCAAAAATATTTCTTTTCTCTCTTAATGAATGGCTGTACAACGTTTTGTACGACAAGGAATCCCATCGTATCTATCTATCTATCTATCTATCTATCTATCTATCTATCTATCTATCTATCTGTCGGTCACATGATCTTCATCTATATATCTAACTTGTGGCAAGAAATTCCTTATTAGTGTTAACACCCCACAAAACGAACCTGCTGGCTCTTAACCGCCTTATTAAACTTCTTCGCCTTCCATAAGCAGGGCTAATACTGATCGCTAGTAGAGAGACTCATTCAGCTGTCTCGTGATTTGTAACCTTGCTTATTTTAAATCAGCATTTCGATTCGGTTATCATGAATGCGGGAACCTTTGAACTTAGCGAACCATTGCTATCAGCTATGGCACCATCTACATAAATAGCACATATCGTTTCAGCTGTTTTTACAAAGTTTTTTTCTTTCCGTAAATAAAAGACCATCAAAGACCCCAAAAGCATCAAAGTTTTCTCTATTTTCATTTTTAATGGAAACAACTAAAATTAAAAATCTATACATGAAAGGTGTTGAGTTCAAAATGTCTCTTTTCAAAATATGTATATATGGCAAATTTTAGTCACTATTGAAACGAAATCACATCTTCATACGATATGTATTGAAAACCCAAATAGAAAACAACTGCTTAAGGCGTGAAACTGACATTCCTCTTGCCGTGGTTACACATTTTCTATGTATAATATATGTATAACAAACGCATATCACATCTGTCTATATCTCTGAGATGAGGTATTATGATTACTTGCATCCTTTACATTATTCGGACTGTCATCCTTAACTTTATTGCCATAATTCGGCCGTTGTACGCTCCGGCCTTCTTCAGGTGATTGGACTTTCGAACGGAACATTTTATTTCAACCACATGGGTATAGTATTCTATTTACATGTGCCATGCTTCTTTCCTTTTGGTTCACCACAGCTGTGGCTTGGTATTGAACTCATAACTCATTGGGTCTAGTCACGTCTTTATCCATATGTCATTGAGGTCATTTGTGTATGATTTTTTGGGGACTTATAAACCTAATATCTTTTTAACAGAGCTCATATTGCAGTTTTTTGTTGTTATTCATTATTTCTCTCTAGCGCTCTTTATTACTGGTCCCCACATTACAATTGTATTGAAATAAAGGGTCCAGTTCGAAACATGGAGATGAGGACACATGTTATCCTCATGAAGATGAGTCTTCAAAACAGTTTGATAAGTTTGGTTTTCTAAGAAGTTATTATTAGATGTAAATAAAATCAAATTTTAAAATGGAGGAAAATAGATTCTTGAAGCAAACACAAGCATTAATGAGAAACTAATAAAATTATTAATTATATTAAGAATTAAACTTACTGCCGATTGTAGTTGTACATTTTTGCATTGGAAACACAGATCAATATCTAGTTAGTGTCGGTCAGCAGAAACACTTTTTTTTCTCTCTGCTGCTCAATTGTTACTCGTTTTCCGTTATTTCTTTGATTCAATTTCAACTCATCGATAACAGTGGACAAATTCTTTGTGGCCAGAATTCCGATGAGATTTCAATTGGTCAATCGGGATAACCAGCAGTGACGTCAGCAGGCTAGCTTCAGCCTCGCTGTCAAATCATGTCAGTTGTCATTTCGCTTTGAGCGGGCTACACGTGACGTAAATGACCTTGAGAGCAATCATGAAGTTTTCAGCTCTTATGTGACACACGTCACGAACGAAAATCATGTTGACTGCGTCTATGTCAGCGGGAATTATGGATGCTGATTGGTTTTTTCCGCCAGCTTTCAACCAACAATTGTTACTAAAGCGAAGATATTTTGTTACGTTTACCGGATACAAAATAGTAGCCTTGTATAACCTTAAATGTTCGTACAGATAGGTACTCAAACATCCCCCCCAAAAGTTATTTACATTCGTTTCATTGTCCTTATCTTCGTAGTTATCAAAACGTCGTTAAATCTGCCGTGTTTCCTTGCTTGATGCAAATGTCCTTCGTGGCCGAGTCGATATAAATACATGCAGCCACGTATCGATTACTTATTTTAAGATGCCGGTTCGAACCTTGCCTGAGGGCTAATATTTTCTTTAATAAGATTTCTCGAATATTCCGGACGTTAGACAAAAATAAATAAATATAACGTTTAGTAAATATAGGTATCTTCTAAAATAACGTTTAATTGATATATATATATATATATATATATATATATATATATATATATATATATATATATATCTGGACTGTCTCGTCGTATTTCACGTATGAGGGTCAAACAGCTCAGTTCCTATGAACCGACATCCAGACACCAGCAATTATGATTTGATTATAGTGGTGAAGGCTTTGTGCAGAACCATCTACACTTTTTGAATGGCTATTTACCTATAGCTAGGGGGAAAAGAAGAGGATTCATACCTTTCCCAAGGGTATTAGTACGTAAGTGAATGTAATGGATTCGACTGGAATTCGAACTCGGCTCTCCGATTCCTCAATCCAAGCCGTGCTCCACAATACAATAAGCTATATCTTGCGCCCGACGAGGTGGGAAACCAGCGAAATTTAAGTCGCAAACCAAACGTAGATATATGTATTAATTTTATATATATATATATATATATATATATATATATATATATATATATATATATATATATATATATTAGCTCTCTGTTTACATTGCTCGGACTATCATCCTCATCTTTGTTGCCATATTTATCACAACGTTTCGGCCGTTGTACGCTCTTGACTTCTTCAGGTGGTTGGAATGTCGAACTGAACACTTTATTTCACTCACTGAGGTAGACTGTTCTAGTTCCATGCGTCATGTCTAATGGATGTCTGTTATCAGTTATCTCCTGTTGATTCCCCTCTCCAAGTTCTCCACCGCCTTAAGCAGGTATTGAACTCACACTCTTTGAGTCCTCTCACTGCTGGATCTAACTAACGCCTTTATCCACTGTGTCCTTGAGGAAGACCTCATTAGAAATGGTCGCTACAGCAAAGTCAAAAAGGATCCTACAATGATAACGGAACGCAGTCACAGATCCTAATCAAGAATAAGGATCACTTCGCACCTAAGATGTATAAGCAGTTGTCGCAGCGTTACACCAAGCTACCTCACATATACGGTCTCCATAAGATTCACAAAGACAGTATTCCACTCAGACCGATTGTTAGTTGCCAAGGCTCTCTGTGCCACTCTCCGAGTCACTTCCTTGTAGATATAATTGACCCATTGGTCGGTAATTCACCTTTATATGTCCGAAACTCCGCCCACTTCGTGGAAATAATCAAAAATGCACCCATCCTATCCAGCCAGAGGTATCCAGGGGAGAGGGTTATATGACGGTTCCGTGTAGGATACAGATACGATTCCTATCAGAGGACACATATTTTCTATGAAATTTATCGCACATTCAGGCCGGAAAATATAGTTATTACTATTTTCTTGACCCAGGGCAGCCCTACCCGCTAAAAGCTTCTGTGTTGTATCTTGTGGGCCTTACCAACACATCAAGTAGTTCTTTTCAGATACATCAGAAGGTATTTTCCAAGCTGCTGTATCTTTGTAATCACCATTAGATTCATACAACTCTTTCTGAATCCTCTGACGAACACGCAAACACTCTGAAATGTTCTTATTTGAGCTTCCGATGCGAATGCCAAGTAGTACAGTATGTCGTTTCCAAATTTCTGGCTGAGTTTATAGCGTCAAGGTGTTCTTTGTCTCATAGACGGTGTCCAACTGACTGTACTATACTGTGCAGTCGACAAAATCAAAATCAAACAAAATGCATGAGCGAAATTAGAAATATAAAATGGCGGTAGTTTATCCACCCAACCCTGTATATATGACCAGAATTTTTTTTCCATTTGCGTCTGTAATATTTATGCTCATACTTCAATTTTATAATATTCCTGCTGTCAGCTAATAATAGTATTAATCAAACACAGATGCGAAATCAACGAACTTTAATATCATTAAAATTAAATCGATAAAAAGAAGAAACATTATTTTTAAATTCTTATCAAGTCCGCCGGGAAGGAAAAAATATCTAATCGGTAAACATTTAATTTGTTTTGAGGTTTTAAAACTGTGACTCATTTCTCAAATGACAGAGGAATTAATAGGAATTTTAATGAGACCCAAATTGATTAAATTTCTTTTTTTAATGTTTATCACTTAAAATAGTTTTTTTTTTTTTTACTCTTATTTGCTTTTTTTCTCGGAATGATAAAACGAGATGCCGTGATGAAATTCAAGTCGGTTCCGTTGTATCCGCTTAAGCAAAAATAGCCTGAATTAATCTGCTAGCCCCACTGTAAGGGTTTAAGTATTAGGAGTTGGATATGGAGAAATCATTTTTATTTTCAAAGACTTTTAATGCCATACTTACGCCCCCCAAAATAAAAATTCTTATAATTAAAAATGTTTCGGCTTTCATATAAAGAATTGATAAGATATATATATATATATATATATATATATATATATATATATATATATATATATATATATATATATATATTGAACAATAACAAAATATTAAAAAATTAAAATCTTTGGACACACTGGGTTGTAGATTATTATTCTTTCGTTTTTTTATTATTATTTCATTTAGATTCCTCGACTAGTTTCGGCCAAAATGGCCATCATCGGAAGAAGAAATATTTCTGCTTGCTGGTAGCAGTAAACTACAGAAATATATATATATATATATATATATATATATATATATATATATATATATATATAAAATCTTCACCGCAGCAGTAGTGAACTAAAATTGGAGAAATGAAGTTAAAGGAAAATAACTGAAACACCCGGTAGAGGCATGAAACGTGGAACTAGAACAATCTACCGGGATAGGTGAAATAAAGGGT